TTTTCAACGTAACATTTTCAGTCTCTTGGTGATGACATTAAACATCAAAATGTTTGGAATTCGTTATCATAATAATACAGATGGAAATGTTTTTCAGTCACTTTGTAAAATAACTGAATATTTAGACGTTTAATAAATATGTTACACATTTTGACAGTAAAAAAATATACACACTATAAAAAAAGCAATGCTCAGGTGAAATATTTACTTTGTGTTGCAAGTCAAAATAGTGTAAACGAAAATCGCAAAATTACCAAGCAAGTGACTTATCAAAACTTCGTCACCATTACCGATGCTACCCTCAAAGATACCTACATTTCTTTATTATCTCGAAAACTGTATTTCATTTTGTTGATCAATGTGACCATACGCTCTTATTACTACCGGTATCCAATAAAAGTGACTAATGCGCTTACGAATGGCGCAGCAGAGGTCGCGAACTAGTCTAGATTTCTGCTATACATCCGGGTACTCACTGGGAAAAAACAATAACAAAGGCAACAACCAGTCCCGGGGAATTGCGTTAGATCAGTGCCCCTTTAAGAGGACTTGAAGAGGATGTTGAAAATCTGAAAGTTTAGTTTCGTGTGATTGCAGCCAAAATACAGGAATTTGGCAATTATGTAATATAGGAAGAGGATTCGTAAGAATTATGCATATTTACAAAGCAAGACTTAAAAAAAAAATCTCTCTGTCTGTCTATCATAAAGCACAGGGGGTTGGTTCAGTACAAAGCAGAACTACCTTACGAATGACAATTCAAGTGACATAAATCTTCTATGAAGGTCACTCAAAACCTTACCAATATCATTTTACTACCCCAAGGGTGATATACACCATATTTCATATGACTACAGTAAACAGTTCTTGAGTTACTTTGGACATTAAACATTTATGAATATATGACCTTTAGACTGAATTTGACCTTCAATATCTGTGACAAGTATTTTAAGAACATTCCCAAGGGTAATCCAGCATATACACCATATATCCCTTGCGTGGATTTCGACATAAATAAGAAAAATCAGCATATAGTACTCACAGTTTGTCTATAATTCTAAGAATACTACATCATAGACATAAATTTAATATTTAGGCTGAATCACACATTCGAGGGCTGGTCAAACAAACAAAACCAACAATTGTAAAAGTGCTTTCAATTTTATTCTTGAACATAATCTCCCTGCTTTTGAATACACTTCTCATATTGATAGTGAAGCTTTTCAATTCCAGTCTGGAAGAGGTTTTCTGAAGCCACCCTGAAAAACCAATACACGGCAGCTTTGAGGTCATCGTCGTCGTCATTTCCTGTCATCTACGAAGGTGTTCTTTCAGTTTAGGAAACAGGTGGAAATCATTTGATGCCAGGTCCGGTGTGGATGGAAGCTCTTCAAACCCACATTGTCGCACATCAACCTTTGCAAGTCGAGAGGTGTGAGAAGAGGCATTGCCATGAAGTAGTAGAATTCCAGCAGTCAGCATTCTTCGCCACTGTTCTTTCATAGAATCTCTCAGGCGATGAAGCAAATCAGCATTGTAGGCATCGGTAATTGTCTTTTGACTTTCTAAGTAATCGACAAGGATCACACCCTTTGCATCCCAGAATACAATGGCCACAACTTTCTTAACTGATCTTGAAAACTTGAATTTCTTTGGTGCTGGAGAAGTGGAATGGTGCCATTCCATGGATTGACGTTTTGACTCAGGATCATAGTGGTAGACCCATGTTACATCACCCATTACTAATCTCTTTTCAAATTTGACGAAATCCTCCACAATTAGCTCTAACTTTTCTCTGGCAATGTCAGTTATTTTTCCTTAAAATCAGAATTCCTTAAAACCTTAACACACAAAGAGCTCATATCTTATTCATCTGTAAATGTTCATGAATAATAGTTTCATGTCCTGTTATTGTGACGTCACTTTTATAACGACGTCACTTCTAGTAATAATTTACCATTCCCTATGACATCACTTCCAGTTCTCTGATGACATCTTCAGCTCTGATGAGATATCCTGGCATCAATTCTGTTGAATCTTAGATCACAATCAGATCTTTTAATGCTTGTCCAGCCATTAACCTATGATCTTGAAATCATTAATGATCAAAAGGTTAACTCACCTCAAAAGGTTGTAGATGCTGGAATCCTCGCCTTGGTGATGTCTTTGTCTGACAAAGGCTTGCAGGATAAGAAAAAAACATTTCGTTTGCCTTCTATGCCCTTCCATGGCTACAATGATAGTAATTAAAAGCTCTTAACGTGCACAAGAGTCTATCAGGATTATCCACAACTTTATTCAGAGGTGGAATGGAAAAGTGCCAATAACCCAAGTGGACCAGCTGCTGTATTTTGGTTTTTAGCAATAAAACCTGGTACAGTTGTCAGTGATATTTTACTCCAGTCCTGATCATGAGTGAGGGGTGAGGAGTCGATAGCGTGTAGCTCAGAAAGCAGTTTCCAAGGCTAGGAAGAAAGCAGTTTCCCTTGACGCCTGTTAGAGTGTAGCTTTATTCATCTGTTCATAAGGAGCTTTCATGAATGCCAATAACACGACAGATAAATTCCATTTTGGAAAGGTCTGAGCAGTTCTGATATCTTCTATCTGGAATGATTTCATAATCCAGTTAAGAACTGGGTGAGTGTCTATAGAAAACCCATCAAGATGAAGAACAGAAGCAAGCTCTAACCTGTCATCTTCAATGGTACCATGACAGTATTTCTTGTCCTGTCTAAGACAAGCAAGAAATTGTGTTTATGTCCACATCTCCCAATTCTCCTTCTTTTTGCCACTGATTGATCTTTCTCCATCTAGTACTGTATATGGTGGATGATAAAGGTTTCCAAGAGACTTAGAGAAACAGAGTGCTTGCATTTTGGCCAAGATAAGGTGGAAATAGTGGAGGTTGCCACGCAATATGTCCAATCTCGGTTTGTGCAGAAGATTGAGAGTTGGAGAGGCTCCTCAAGAGTAGAGGGAATTTTCTGGGATACCCAGCTCTAATAGGTCAAGCCGGAGCAATGAACATGATGACAAAGTTTGTCTCTTCCACCTTCTTGAGAACTCTGTCTAGGAGAGACTAAGGTGGGAATATGAAGGCAAATAGAACCTCCCAACTCATGGAAAGGGCATTCAATGTGAAGATCTTTTGGATCCAGAACTTGGTATGTTCTGGGGCTTACTTGGAATTGGTTGAATCCACCAGAAACTCCAGGTAAGATAGTAGCTCATCAGAAAGATTGAATTCCGTTAAAACTAAATTGTTCCTGATCAACAGCAAGAAAGTTGTCTATGTGTCCATTAAGTATTACTTGATACACATGTGTTTACCCGATGATAGGGATGATGATCCCCGTAAATAGCCATGGAGAGCTATGGAAATTCCGAATGGCAAGACTAGAAACTTGTATCTGTGACTGTTGACTACAAAGCACAGATAATGGTGACAACTTGATTGGATGGCAACATACAGATACATCTCCTGTAAATCCAGGCTGATAGCCAATCTCCTAACTGGAGACAGTTTCTTAGTTTTCTGATTGATTCCACCTGAAATCTGAGTGGATGAACTTGGTAATCCAAGTTGAGTACTTTATGGTCAGTGGTCATGCACATGTCTGATGTATTCTTCTTCAGAACCAGAAAAACTGGGTAGTAGAATCCTGTGGTGGTATCTGAACACTCCAAAGCATGAATCAATCCCTTGACTGGTAACGTCTGGATTGCCTGCACCAATGATGGTGGAAGTGTAACTTGTATCCTGTCCTTACTACTTCAAGTAACCAGCGGTCTGACATCACCAGTTTCCAGTTTCTGACATAATTGATGGAAAGTCCTCCCAGTGGTCCCGGAGTTGGTGTTATGTTGAAATTTGTAAGAGTTGGTTGCAGAATGGGAACGTGAGAGTAGTCAATTCTGGCGTGCACCTCTGCTTACTTCTGCCTTTATGGCATTGCTGGAAACAGGAATCATCTCTCTTCTCGTTAGTGAACTGAAAAAGTAGGATTATCCTTCCAGGGTGGGGCACAAAAAGATTACTGTCCTGAAAACACAAACATTCTTTTGGGAGGATCTCTATGTTGTCTGGGTCGCTTGTAAGCTTTCACCACTAACTGATCACAGATACTTGAAAATGCTCCTAAGTATCCCGACCTACCTCATCCAAGACTGACTGACGCTTGCCATTAAAATGAGTGAGTAAGTATGGTTTTACGCTGCTATTAGCAATATTCCAGCAATATCATGGCTGGAGACACCAGAAAATGGGTTTAACACATTGTACCCATGTGGGGAATCAAACCTGGGTCTTCGGCCAATGCTTCAACCATTAGGCTACACCACTGCCCCCTTGCTATTAAAAGAATCCCAGTGAACTGACGGGATGAGTAAGAACAGACATCTTCAGTGTTCAAACTCGTGAATGGAGGTGATATCTCTGAGGGAGAACAAATTGGGATGACATCATAACTTGAGCTGAGTCCATTGATTTTATAAAATCTGCATCCGTGATAGGATCAGAAAGGTGGCATCTCAAAGCAGTTCAGGTGAGGGTTTGTAGGAAGCTGGGCCAAGCCACAATCTGACCAGAATTTTCTTAATAAGCAGATAATAAAAGTAATAAGTCTGTAGTTAACAAAGAACATTCTAAATGTCCTTATAATGTTAGCACACACAGGAAAGAGAGAAGTGATGTTTTCCCGCCTTGTGCTAGAACGGTTTTCCTTTGAACGATAAGACAGCTGGCCGTGATGAGAGTGTCTGTTGAAATATCCAAAGATTTTATGTGTGATTCTGCCTATATACAGATTTATGGTTGTGATGCACTAAAGGTATTGCATTCGAAGTAATTATGCTATGCATATTTATGGATTAAAAACAATAACTTTTTTAAAAGTTTACAACCAAATTCTGTCCAGGTGTTACAAAAACATTATGGCAAATGATGCTTTTGTTGACATGTATATAACTACCTTTGAGAACAGTCATTTCATCACACTTACCAAAGCACTTGACAATATGGTACAGCTGATCAATGTCAGAATCCCCTGGGAAAAGTGGCTCACCAGTCAGCATTTCTGCCAGTAAGCATCCTATTGCCCATATGTCCACAGCCCTGAAAAACATCAGTAAAAACAGTTTGAATACTATTTATTTATTACATGGTCCAACTTTCCCAAAGAACTTTAAGAAACTAGCCTTTTGGCAATTATAGTCCAAGAAAGAAAGTTTGTCTGAAGTCAGTTTTTCAAGCAACACTTTCTTTGCCTGCTAACCAAAATTTCACTATGCATATTAATATAATACTATAAGGCTGAAAATAAAAGAAGAATTGGTTCTCAGGCAATAGCTTTTGAAAATATTGTGCGAGTGGGTGACTTTTTTTGGGGGGGGGTGTACAAACTAGTAAGAATCCAAATCCTTATATCACTTTGTTTTAGGAAAGTTTTTCATAACTAGAGTTCGGAAGTTTCAAGGGGTGGGGGTCGTCTTATACACGTTTTTTTCCCCAACACAAACACATTACTGTGAGCATGTAGCAACGGAAATACCATGTCAGCAAATCTGTGCTGAAGTACGCAAATTAATCATGTAATTACAATGTCTGGTTGTAAAAAAATTCATAATATTTCTGGACTTATGTTTGTAATAAATTTTATTCATTTTATTCAACATTTCATTCAATACAGCTTCAATTCATTTCGGCAAAATGAAGTGATCGGAAGATCACACAACTCACCGTTATTTACAGCAACTACGGTCATGTTACCGCTATTGACGCCTTGAAACAAACTTTGATGGATAGAGAGTGGATATATATATCATAAATGCCATACATTGAATCGCTGAAAGTCTTATTTGTTGTAGTTTGACTATTATATGTCAACATAAAGTTTTCGCAATCGCGGCCACAGGACCATCGACTGTGATTAGTCAAATTCTTCCATACGAAAAAAAATCTAGCAATAGTGATCAGCTGAACCAAAGTGCTACGCTTATGGTTATTAATTTATTTCACAAATATATATAGTAATGCTGCAACTAACATGATATTGGATTAATGTAGGGATTGTGTACGCACTGGTGACGTGCTTCAATCCGATTCGCATATACGGGGCATATAAATCAGCATTATTTTACGAGACAAATAAATATGTAAATCTTAACCTCTGTGTATGAAACATTGTCTCGAATACAGTACACAGATACCATTGAATTTGTAAATCAATATGTCTAGTGATGTTTTATCGCAAATTTCATGTTTTCATTGACCAAATTTGCAAACTGCAAAACAAGCACACTCCGGATCCTATTACCGCCATGATCATGAACACGCAAGATGCGCAGTAAAGAAGTGTGCATGAAAAGGGTAGTAACTGCATGCTATATTGGATCACATTGTTTTAAAGGATTGAAGCATTTCACTTTTGGGGTCGTGTGTTCAAGAAGATTTAAGGATTTCTTTTCTTTGAAAATGGAACTAAAATCGAAATGTGCGGCGGACTTTGTGATGATGCGGCAGTGCCTGAGAACCAAGAATATTTTTTTTAGCCTAATGATGATTACTGTTATGTGTCAGCAGTTTTGTTACAGTGTTGATTGTATGTGCTAGCAAGTTGACTGAGGCCATTTGATATACGGTAGTTGTAATACCTTCGTATTAATGACACAACTCGAGCTCAATACGAGCCAACTTTACTTCAGCCATGTGACGGTCAGTACAAAAACTTGGTCCGGCAATCTCAAATCAACAATACATACAAAACTCAAATCTGTAAACGAAACAGGATCCATTACAGTAGTCCAAATTCCGTCCCAGCCTTTGACACCTTCATTACCTTCCCAGTGTATTGGGAGCTCCTCTGTTAGGAGCTTGTTACAGGCCTGTTCACAGTTATTTGTAAATTATTCACTGATCTTGTGTGGTTATTTACTGATTTCACAATTTCTAGGTTAACCTTAGCAATTCAATTTGTAACAATTACTCACATTCACATGAATAATTTTGCAGAATCATTTCTCTTGATAAATATTCAAGCTATTGTGAAATTTCCAAAAACTCTAATGCGCTAATAGGACGTACTTATCAGGAGGTCAGGTAACACATGTTCCATGTCTTTGCGCAGGACATTGACTTCATGACACCTGTTCAGCCACAGCTAAAAAAAACACCCCGCAGACGCAAATCATCCCTTGTCCGGCCAGTAAAGTTCAAGACTGCACCACACTTGCATCCCTCAGAAAAGGTGAAACATCTATCAATCACAACCTCTGTGATTGAGTACACCAAAACGATATGAGGAAATGATTGACAATTCACCCTGGAGACGAGAGAGAGCGAATCATCCCTTGTCTGGCCAGGAAAGTTCTTCAAGACTGCCCCTACACTTACTAACATCCCTCAGACGTAAGATGTAGCAGCCTTGGCATCTCTATTTAATCTCTAATCTGTACTATCTAATAAGGGCTTGAAGTTACACTACAGGTTGATTTCAGCCAAGTAAGTAGTAAGTGTAGGTCCTTTCAGCTTCCTTGCAGACCTCAAGTGCTGAAGGTATTCTGCCATCTGTTGAGGCGATGCTGTAGATGGTGTTGAATGTCCTGAGCCGTACAGTAACCTCGAAGGCCTTCCACTTATGATCATAAAGAGCCTTTGTGAAAGTACAATGTACAACAGTGATAGTACGAGCCACTCTTCCAGAATATCACTTTACATTCAGGCAGATGAAGCTTTCCCAGTGACGGATGTAGCTGGCTTGAATGTGGCTGAAGCAGTAGGTCTGATCACAATAGACGATGATGTCGTCACTGTGATGTTTACGAACACAGTAAACCAATAAACTAAAGTAGTACCTTAGGTAGAATGCCTGACAGAGGGTAAGCATACGTGTGCAGTCCTTCGAATTCCCAAGAGATGGCTAGCACATCATGATCCCATGCCTGAGGATCCGGTATGGGGAGACGAACCTTGGAAGTTGAGTTTTGTATCTGGTTGTAAACAGATTCACTTTCAGCTTCCATTTTGGGATTGAGTTGTCACTCTGTCGGGGATGGTTGATTATGTCGTAATAGTGCATCTGCAATCACATTTGAATCCCCAGAATGTGTTTGGATTGAACTTGAATGTGAAGTGAGTCGACAAGTTGATGTACCACACAACCGATGTGCTGTCCAATTGAACCATCAGTCGGGACACTTGAAGGATCTCTGCACAGTTTACAAGCATGTTGAATCAACTCCTTGCTGGCCAAAAGGGCACAACAAAAGGTAGAAGAAGTCTTTTTGGTGTTTGATATCTTTTGCAACACTTGAGTTAGAAGTCCTGTCGAAGCGGCGAGCACAACATGATCCTACAGCTGTGGGTCCAGAAGTGGGGAGATGAACTTTGGAAGTTGAATGTAAACCTTATTCGTAACAGGTCCACTTCTGGCATCTGGATCAGCTGACACTCCATTTGAAGATCTCCAATGGGGACGGATGATTCAGTTGTGAAAACACACTGGCTATTCCGTTCTGAATTCCTGTGCTTAGCTTAAACTTGTGTATTATCTAACTGTCAATGAGTTGGGACAATTGTAGTATCTCCACCCAGTGTGTTACTGCTAACCCCACTGCTTAGAAGTCTTGGTAGTTGATGTGTACAGATCATTCGTCTTTGGACCAATGCCTTGCACTCATTAAACTACATACATAATATTAATATATCTCATATAAGAAATAATATAGCTGTACCTATATACCATAAACTACTATTATCAGTCTGTTTGCCAACAGCTTAAAACACCAAACAAGTCTTTCTCTTGAAGTTTCCTCTTTTTCCAGTGAGGGTGGCATTTATCGCTTGTTTTTGATCTGTGGATGGTGGTTGGACATGTAGTGAATGTACTGTCTGTCTGTGCTTGGGTTTATGGTAGACAGCATTGTGGATCTAGTCATGACTGTTGTTGAGCTGTACATCAAGGAAGGGTAATTGGTGGTGTCTTTCTGTCTTCATGGTGAACTTGATTCTTGGGTGTTAAATGTTGAGATGATCCAATAGGGCTTCAGGGCCCTGGTCTTTGTCTAGGAAGATGAATGTGTCATTTATTTTTCTGTACCAGCATAAAGGTTGGTAGGAGGATGATGTGAAGGCAGCTTCTTCAAGTCATGAAAATTTCTGTAATGAGTGTGGATGGATCTTGCCATTCCAAGTAAAGAATGAGGTGGTGAAACGGGAGGCAGTCAATTTATGATGCTGACGATGGAAAGTGATGTGTCTAACTGGTCATTGTGTGTCAATATAACTTGCTGTGTAGGACTTGGAGGGCTTCGTGTAGTGGTATGTTGGTGAAGAGTTCTACTAAGTCGTAGCTGACCATGCAACGTGTGTGACCTGAGTTTCTTTCAGTTTGTTGACAAAGGTGTCGGGCTCACCGATGTAGAACTTTCCTTCTTTCCCTAATGGTGCTAGTAGTTTGGCAAAGAGTTGTGCAGTGTTGTAGAAGACTGATCCCCTGGAGACCATACGAGTATTCTTGTGAACTTTGACAGAGGCTCTGGCGTAATGGGCCTGTGTGTTTATGGGGTTCAGTTTGTTGAATGTCTTTATTACTGTGGAGTTCATGGAGGGTTTCATTGTGCTGTGTTTCTAATTTGAAGAACACAAGACCCCTGTTGAAAAATCTGACATGAAATCTGCTATATCAAAACATCTCATCACAAATCCTGACCACCATTTTACCTGGCAACAAACCAAGATTTTTCACACCAACATCAGACATTGGAAAAAGAGGAAACTTTAACTCAAATCCAGAGAAAGAAACCAGCAATTAACAGAGACCAAGGCATCTACCTACCCAGTGTGTACTTCGGCTTTGATCACAACATCAACCACAAAGGACATCTTGATTACCTCATTGTTTGTGAGGTCTTTGAAAGGCAGAGAATTTATGGATGTAAACTTCTTTATTATGAGGAACAGAACATTTCAGAGTACATGCTTACTCCTTTATCAAGTGAATGAATGCCATGAGGCAGAGAGCATACATATGTACATGTAAGGACAACAAAATTAACAAGAAAGAAGTGAGCAAAGCTTACATACCCCCGTTATCCCCGCTGGTCAACAACAAATAG